AGTTTAGTATTTAACCTCCAAGAGGCTCTCAGACAAGTCTAATCGAAAAACTTATGTACAGTCTGAATTGGTATATGGTTGACATATTAAATAGTCAGTGATGAACATCTCATCTATACATACAAATACTTATGCATATTTTTTATAAATGAAAATCGAGGTTCCTTTTTCGGCCAAATTTCGTATAGTATACATAAATGAAGATACTGGAATCATTACACTGTACAGCACTCGGCTGGGTATTGGACCAAACCAATTTTTTTAATACATTGAGTCATAGGTAAAAAAGTAATTTCTCCGTTTTTCGAAGTTAGCCTCCAAAATCAAGATATGGGCCTTCGAAGTTCCAAATAGGACCTAAAAAACTAAAAATATAGACGTAGTCTGCCTAATACTCTTATTTAAATGGTTATAACCTTATTTTGTGCAAACTTATATTACAGGTGCTATAAGGTCGGGTCTTCGAAAAATTAACAACCTTATATTTCAAACAATTTTGAACTGATATTTTAAGAATTGGTATCGCTGTAAACGTGATTAAACCTGCTTTCTTCTGATATGCTTATTTGTATACTTCGTATGTAAAAATTTGAGAAAAAACATTTAAAAGGAAAAAATACCTTTTTTACGAAAAAAAAATTTTAAACAAAAAAAAAAATTACTAACCGCTTTTTAAAAAATGCGTATCGTTGTAAACGCAATCAAACCTCCTTTCTTCTGATATGCGTATTTGTATACTTCGTATATAAAATTTTTAAAAAAACAACACTTAAAAGGAAAACATACCTTTTTTTATAAAATAAATATTTTATTTATTTTTTTTATTTAGCTCAATAAAAATTGTTGAATATAAATATTTTAAACAAAAAAATTACAAACCGATTTTTAAAAAATTGGTATCGTTGTAAAGTTACCANTCAAACCTCCTTTCTTCTGATATGCGTATTTGTATACTTCGTATATAAAATTTTTAAAAAAACAACACTTAAAAGGAAAACATACCTTTTTTTATAAAATAAATATTTTATTTATTTTTTTTATTTAGCTCAATAAAAATTGTTGAATATAAATATTTTAAACAAATAAATTACAAACCGATTTTTAAAAAATTGGTATCGTTGTAAAGTTACCAGAAAACTAATACTTCCTTAAACCCAAAAATTTCTATTTACAAAAAAAAAATAATTAAAAACATTTTTTCCCTAGCTACGCCCTTGTATACAAAACAATTAAAGTACTTAAACCGTGCATCATAGGTTCAGTTTTTTCTTTTAGAGCGTACATATACATGGTTCCATAACAATGATTCCAATATCTTCATTTACGTATATTGTAACTATCAATATCTTATTAAGAGAAGTGTAATTTTTTTTTATGTAAAACTAATAAAGTTAGAAGAACGAAATTCGAGGATGTGGTAGTTAACGTATAAGTGCTTGACATATATTTTTTTCAAAAATAAATATTGGAAATTTCCAAGGATATTCAAGGATAAAATTTTAAAAGGACATTTTCATTACTTAATCGTTCTGGTGCACCCAAAAATTAATTTTTTTTCTATTCTATTCTACAATGCACCGAATCTTTTGAATAATTTTTTTATTCAATCATATTCTAGGAATTTCAAAGTCCTTTAAAAAATACTGACGTCAGAGAGAAAAACTAAAAACGCAGTTTTACTATATTTGACCCCCAGTTTTGTGAATATATTGATTTTTTCGTGTGTAAAATTGACTGTCGCACGGTGTAATACTATATGTATTTAAATCTCAATTAGTTATTTGTTGTTAAATTAATGCGCTGTTATTTGGTTGTTATATTGTTAATAAAGGAAAAGGACGCTTAAAAATGAGCTGATTTGTATCGCTTTGTGCTGATTTTTGATCCCAACTGTACTGATTATGTCACTAAAATATCTCGCTACCCTACTTTTGAGTCAGGGTCATCGCAGCTGCGACAGAACCTGTTGAAGAGCAATCCAATCCTATCGGCATTTACCCCAATGGGCCAGTGCCCTGTGCACACTGCAGGAAGTTTTTAGGTATCTTCTTTGTTCATTCCTAAAAAAGCTTTGGTTTTAAGTGGGTTGCGGAACACTCAGAACTGCCGGGTAATCCTGTACTCTTCCACCTCTGTGTGGCCTTCAAGTGATAAATTTTGGTAATTTTTACAATTATAGGAAATTTGTTTTTCAAGAGATTTCGCACTAAATTTAAATGGTTGTTAATCAAACAAAAGCAAAAATATGCAAAAACCATATGCATTTATTGTAAAATATATTAAAATATGCGCAATAAATATGCAAATAAAGTATTTTTTGCAAATGCCATTTTAAAGGAAATTTCATTGTTCTTAAAGATAACTTAACCATTTACATTTGAAGAGTCCGATAAAAGCATGTATTTGCATGATATTCCGAGGCCGATACATAAATATTTATGTATATACATACATTGTATATATGTATGCATGTATCTACCCTGCAGCAAAATTTAGGGACAGTCTGGCAAAGCGCTAGTTCCGCCCCACAAATTTCAAAACTGTCTCTGAACTACTGCAAAAGGGATGCAGAGCTGGACGGTTGAAACTCATATGTTGCTAGTTGCGCTGTCATCAATGTTACTCATCCTGGTCATGTGAAAGCTGACAAGAGATGCTATACTATATTTTTTCGATTTTTTAGTCCCTAAAACTAATAGCAAACTGTTTTCGTTTATTTAATATGTAGTTCTCTACATAGTTTATGCGGCAACTGCTAAAATATTTCCAAAAAAGTCGTTACTGGTATCATTAAAGTATTGATTTCGATGAAATTTAGTTTGTAGTCTTTATTTTATTAGAAAAACCTAAATATAAAATATGGAGAAGATTGGATTACTATAACGTTCAAAACTCACAAAAAATGTGGGCCCAGTCATTAAATGTGATAGAATTTTGGGTAACTTTTGTTTCCTGCTTTCCACTCTCAGAAAACAAAGGTTATACAATAAAATGACTTAGGTGTCAATACTCGCTTTTTCCCAATATCTGGTGGGATTTTTTCATTGTTTGAAAAATTCTTTTCGCTAAATTATGCAAAAAGAAGCTGAAAATCAAAAATTAAGAAAATCAAAAATTACATATATTTGCAAAGTCGCGCGCAAAGATCAAATTATATATTCGAAAACTACATAAAATTCTCTAAAATATTACTCTAATTTCAAGACCTGACGGACCGGTAACACACACACTTTTTTTACTAATAATCTTTATAATCTACATTTCAAAGTAAATTTTTTGGTAAGGAAATAGGAAAATACCAAATAAATGATAAATACCTTCACCTGAATATTCCACGACATTTAGATAATTAATTACAATTGAAAAAGAAACACTTTCTGTAATGGGTTCAGCGCCAAATGCAACTAAACTGATTAGTCGGTATCGCGCCCATTCCCGTATTTTTTTGGAAATGTATCGTTCGTGAAGAAGGGGGGTGAGTAAATAATGTAAAATTTGGTACTTATGACTTTTACTATTCCCTCTCTAAGTCAAACCGGTTTTTTTTACCAACTGTCACCATGACTTTTTTCTACCTGCCTCCATATATTCGAAACACTGTGCGCCATTTCCTTTTTAAATATTCACAATATATTTAGAGTTAAAATTTGTTTGTTATTATTTTATAAAACAAATCATGATGCTTGAAACAAAATCATATAAACCGTGTTTCAAAACTTTATATAAAACAAAGTTAAATTTAACGATTTTTCATCAAAATTTTTTACCTTGTAATCAGATTTAAAAAAAAATAAACATTTTTAAATAAAATATAAAAAATAAAGATTTTTTTTATTATAACTATTTCGAGTATTCAAATTTTAGTGTAGTAAAGTGTAATCTTGCATCTTAAACGAAAATATTTAAATTGGAGAATATCTTCAAGAGCGTGCGTAAAAAGTGTTACATTAAATCAGCGCGATTAATTATACTAAAATTTAATGGCTTATAGAGCTGCATACTTATAAACTCTGATTTAAAATATTGAAGTTTTTATAATAGTTTCTAGAATTCTACTAAATTACCAACACAGTTAGAAACGTGAATTTATTTGTTTATGTTATAATACTTATGAGCCATCCTTAAATAAAAAATTTACGAAAAATATTTAGCATGAAAATCATTGTGAATATTTAAAATTCTATATGTTCTTATTAGATGCAGGGGAGTCTATGTATTACATTTCAATACACTTAATACAATTTAACGCTGAGCTATCACAAATAAGCATTCAATATATCACCGTTTTTCTCATTTTTTTACACGATTTAGTTTAGATTTTTAATTATAAGTATCCCAGAAATACCCATTATACGTAACAAATATAAATTATTTTTACGAATAACAAAAAGAAAAAAAGGAATAATTGACAATTTATGTTCCTAATTTTAAAGCACAGTTTGCCTCAAAAAGTAAATTAGTGCAAATCAAATAGCTCTTTAAACATAAAATGAAGTATATATTTTTTATTTACAAAATTGTATGCGTGCTTATTTAAAGAAAAGGCTCTGTACTATACTTCTAAGAACCAGCTCAAAACTAACCAAATTATTTCTAGTTCGGAGGTAACTCTTTTTGAACTATCTAGGAACTGTTGTTATATGAACTGTCTCAGAGCCATCTAAGCCAGAGTCAGCTCAGAACAAGTTCAAAAGTTCTGCAGAGGGCGACAATTGTCACTTCGTAGGACATCGCCATGTTAAAAAAGACAGTTGAAAGCATTGAGTTGAGATAGATGAAGAACCAGTACCGACCCTTTTCAGGCTAGCTCAGCTCAAGTTCTGAACCAGTTTGATTTGCTGCAGGGTAAATATACCAAAACACTAACACAATTAAAGAGACTTATTGCTTGCATAAGATACATATTTTTACATCAGTTACTGCAGTGAAATATCAAATTTACCTTTGCCATTTTCAAACACTCATCGTAAGAAGCTTACTAGTCATCTGCAAGTACTTACCTAAATGTAAAATTGCCACAGTATTCATCAAGTTGAATGACATCGGGATTTATAGTAATCTCTTCATGGAATATGCCAATTTCCTTTATGATCGACTCCGACATGTAATCTTCACCAGCAAAGTAGTCGCTCTCCTCTGTTTCAGTCTCATTCTCATCATCGTTCACAACGAATACGGTCCGATACAAACTGCTGTGGTAAGGAGATGAAATTGGAATTAAATTATGATACATGGTCAAAATTAGGGATGTGCAGGATAGAGATTTTGCCGGATAACCCGATTCCGGATACCATGTAAAAAATATGGGCCGGATTCGGTATCGGATCGGATATTCGGTGGACTGTTGTGTTCCTTATCTCCCAGAAATAGTCAGAAATAGTGCGAAGTAGTCAGATTTAATCCAAAAAGCGTTTCTTAACTCGAAAATGCAACAGAAATAAGAGAGCAACACTCAGTGAGAGTGACTCTCTTCAGTCCGAAGTGGTCAGATTTACAGGCTAACCTAATATTCGCGGCTTGCGTTTTGGTACGCATGCCGTCGAATTTGTTTTTTTGCGTCACCCGAAATTGACTTGCATGCGTTTGCATTTGATTTCATTGAGCGAAACGTCAAATCAAAATGTCACGCAGAACAAAAATTGGAAATTGAGTTAGCTTCATACGCACGCCGTTCAATTTCGGTTGATCTCATACAAGTTGCATGTGCATGAGAAATTTTTGACAATAAATTGGCGGCGTGCGTGAATATTAGGTTAGCCTGTTAGTCAGAAGAATTTCTGCTTGAAAAGTGTAAAACTCAACTGAATTTAAATTAATAGAAATTAAAAAAAAAGTGAGAATAATCTAAAAATTTAAAGAAAAGTGAATTGAAAATGGAAGGAGGCAAAAAATTAATGATATAGTAAGAGTTTATTGTGCTCGTGCTTGTGTGAATGTATTTTGTGCATACATTTCTATTGTTATTTGACTTTAGTTTTGTTGTTGCCATTCTTTGGACTAAAAATTTGTTATTTTGGGTGCCTTTACTTTTTCCTGTTATTCTCTTTTAGTGAGCGCATTTTGCTCACGCTCTTGCATTTTGACACTTTTCAGATTTTAGTCAGAAAAGATAACGAATGGACCTATTATCTACTTTTTCGAGATGAACCAATGCGTAAATAGGAATACAAAATTTATCCTCGAAATGTAAGTTATAAAATAATCCTGTATTTAAAAGATAACTTCACCATCTGCAACCCTGATTTATCGATTATTTTTGTAAATAGAGGAGAAACGTCAAGGACAAAGAATAAACAACAATGAACGCCGCTAAGCAGAAACGCGTGGTCGATGTATTTTACAACGCTTTTATCAACTTGCAATGTTGTGCGTCCAGAAGCTTTCAATGTTGTGGATCCAGAAACTTTCAATGTTGTGTGTCCGACACCAAAGCAAAGCTTTGAAAAGTTCCTATAAAAAAGCATAGTGCATAGGGCGACAACTGTAGTGAATAGGGCGAGGTAGATGACATCTAGATGTCGCCCTATGTACTACGTTTGCTACAGCGGAAATAGACGACACGCCATTTCTTTAAATAAAATTAATTGGTGCTCGTTTGTATGTACATACATATGTAAATGCATGTGTGTGCACCTTTCTATTAATATCGTTGAATTATTTTAATATCTATTGCAAAATTTTATTCAGACAGGACTAAAAAGTAGAAAATAAATAATATAAAAAAAACTTTTTAATATACAACGCTTTTATAAATGGACTAAAAAGTAGAAAATAATATTTCTCAGTCCCATAGAATTGGTTTTGATAACTTTTGATTTTGAAATTTTAGCAAAAGTCATTATAAACAATCTATGAAATTGAAAATGAAAAGCGTGGGGCGCATGTAATACACTTGAATTGATATGAAAAGTAATATATGTATGTATGTATGTGGGTATATGAATAACGACCGCTTAAAATCGATTTCAAAGTTCTACTTTCGCTGTACAAATTTTAGGTCTACGTTATGTAGTTTGACTATTGTCAATTAAATCGAATGCTTTGTATTGCATGCGCTCCACGTTTTTCATTTTCAATTTCATAGATTGTTTATAATGACTTTTGCTAAAATTTCAAAATCAAAAGTTATCAAAACAAATTCTATGGGACTGAGAAATATTATTTTCTACTTTTTAGTCCATTTATAAAAGCGTTGTATATTAAAAAGTTTTTTTATATTATTTATTTTCTACTTTAAAATGCGATTAAAATCGACTCATTATGCATGCTTACATATCGCTCCGCTTCCCTTATCGTCCAGTAATGCTTCATTGTTGCAATGGGGGTCTTCCCTTAAACTCGTAAACCTCGTAAAGCTCGTAAAAAAACTGTGCTCGAGCCTCGTAAACGAACTGTCAAAATTTGTATGCAGCTCTATTTACGAGCCCCTCGTAAATTTACGAGGCAAATTTGATGCGCAAACGACCTCGTAAACTTCAGGGTTGCCGGTAAGCCGAAATTTTTATACTAAAACTTATGATAAAATAATGAAAATAAATGAAAAAATGATACGCGAATAAAAATAATGAATTTCATCCACTAACTGTATCGACTTAGGTTTTCTGCTGATTTTCGGCATTTTTAATTGTATTTTAGCCCAGAGTGATAGACACAAGATGTCGGGATGTTATGGAAAATACTACGAAACAACAATTGCTTCACACAATTCTGGTTGAACTGTCACACAGTCACATTACGCACCTATTTACACCTTTTCGCAAAGGGGGCGTTCCCATAAAAACCTCGTAAACTTATGAGTTTTGCACGGTTTAAGACTTTACGAGTTTAAGGGAATACCTTGAAAATTTTCTAACCCACGTTTCAAAAATCGTTTTTTTCTGACATCAATAAATCTAAAAATGATATAAAAAAAACGTTTGAATATACAACGCTTTTATAAATGGACTAAAAAGTAGAAAACAATATTTCTCAGTCGCATAGAATTTGTTTTGATAACTTTTTATTTTGTAATTTTAGCAAAAGTCATTATAAACCATCTATGAAATTGAAAATGGAAAACGTGGAGCGCATGCAATACAAAGCATTCGATTTAATTGACAATAGTCAAACTACATAACGTAGACCTAAAATTTCTACAGCGAAAGTAGAACTTTGAAATCGATTTTAAGCGGTCGTTATTCATATACCCACATATATACATACATATATTACTTTTCATATCAATTCAAGTGTATTACATGCGCCCCACGCTTTTCATTTTCAATTTCATAGATTGTTTATAATGACTTTTGCTAAAATTTCAAAATCAAAAGTTATCAAAACAAATTCTATGGGACTGAGAAATATTATTTTCTACTTTTTAGTCCATTTATAAAAGCGTTGTATATTAAAAAGTTTTTTTTATATTATTTATTTTCTACTTTTTAGTCCTGTCTGAATAAAATTTGCAATAGATATTAAAATAATTCAACGATATTAATAGAAAGGTGCACACACATGCATTTACATACGTATGTACATACAAACGAGCACCGATTAATTTTATTTAAAGAAATGGCGTGTCGTCTATTTCCGCTGTAGCAAACGTAGTACATAGGGCGACATCTAGATGTCATCTACCTCGCCCTATTCACTACAGCTGTCGGCCTATGTACTATGGCCTTTTATAGGAACTTTTCAAAGCTTTGCTTTGGTGTCGGACACACAACATTGAAAGTTTCTGGATCACAACATTGAAAGTTTCTGGACGCACAACATTGCAAGTTGATAAAAGCGTTGTAAAAATGGGTTTATGGTGAACTAATGCCAAAGTATAAATCAGTTAGCATGGAGATCCCAGTTGAATCATATAAAAAAGAAGTGGGATATCAGTGGCAAAAATACATCGATGTATTTCTTTTATTCGATGCACCGAAATGTACATCGATATTTTTCGATACGTCGAAGGGCGTACATCGATGCATCGATTTTCATAGGATTTTTCAGATAGCATTTCACTACAAAATATGTTACTAGCAAAATTGTACAATATTTTAAAATAATTACTGCAACTTAGCTAATTATTTTCCTAACAGCACTTTTTTGAGCCATTTCAATTTTTTGATCAAAGTCACTTCCCTTTTTTGCACACTTGAGAAACTGAAACGGCGGTTAAATGTACTAGAGATGTCAATTTTAACAATCATAGATGCATTGATGCATCGACTATTTATACATCGAATGGAAAAATTTAGACGCATCGAAGCAAAACATCGATATTATCGATGCGTCGATGTTTTTCCGACATTCGTAGGCTGAACTTAAGTGAAAGCTTCTATTGAAGAACGAGCTCACCAGGATGGCAATGCTTTGAGGGAATCGCCAACGGCTCTGATGCTGATTCCAGTTTTTGTAGTGATGTGGATAGCCAAACGATTGGTATACAAGGCGGCAATTTTGAAATGGAGAAATATTTACAGCTACCCCTTATACTCAGACAAGAAGATCCTTTAATTTGGCATAGTGGCAAAGAATTTCCAAGTTTGCTTACACAGGTAATGAAGTATCTCTGCGCACCACCTCCCTCAGGGAACTCAAAAAGAGGGTTTAGTGCACCGGGTAGCATTTATGATGAAAACAGAAATAGAATGTTGTTGCCCGATGATGCGGAAATGCTTCTTTTCATGTTGAAAAATATATATTACTTTTTTTATTCTAATTACTAATTACTTAGCTACTATTACATTTGATTATAAAAATACAAACAAAAATCTGAACTAGATTTTTAAATTGAATCTTCTATAATTGAAATCCGGCCGGATTTTAGCCAGTATCCGGTCGGATAGTTGGCTAACAGAAAAACTGCCGAATAAGCCGGATTCCGGATATCTACCGGATACCCGGCACATCCCTAGTTAAAATGTTTGTACGTACACATTTATGTACATAAGGGATCCAATTGGTTGCCAGGGAAATTAGTGTGGATTAAGGGTAGCTCGTAGCCAAGGGTAATAGCGCAACTTTTGTGACGCTAACTCAATAACGCCGGCGTCATCTTTTTTTTTTTTTAGTTTTCATGAACACATATTTGATATAGTAAAACAGTCTAGACTCAATACACCTGATCAGTGATCTCAAAACAATCCTTTCCTTCGAAACAGTTCGTGGTGAAGTGCTGTATAATAGTGACGGCAAACTATCGATGGCACTATCG